TTACTTTAAAACTTTGTAACATTAGTTATTTTACTAAGTTATAAATAGAAAGATTTTATTTTTGTATTTTGGGCAAGTACGATATGGCTTAAAACACTTATATCCTACGTGTAGATATTCTTAAGTTGTTGCGCATTTTAACTTTATCTGTAAATTGACAGGAAGTTGTGTTATATTGCCTTGAAACAAACTACTGTGATGTCAACGCTCGTGACAACGCCGGTTACACGCCTCTACACGAGTGCTGCTCGCGTGGAAACCTTGAGATTGCAAACGCACTTGTTCTGTTCGGTAGTGACGTCAGTGCAAGTGCAGTTGGAGGAATAAGGTACTTATGAGCCTGTGTTTGTTTTCCTACCCACTAGAATGAAATTTAACGCAGTATTTTTCTTTTAAATCGTAACAGGTACATCGTGAAACTTTGCAATATAGGATGATCGGTTTTTCCGGTCTTTGAACTTAAGCACTTTTAAGACGAAAACGAAAATGGTATTTTGTTTAAACTTATCGTTTCAATAGCATGGTGTAATTTGATTTCCCGAAATGTCAACTGTGAGCTCTTTGTTTTGATAATTTTACATGTATAACCATCTAAATGGAATAACCTTTTTTTTTTTTGGTAGATTGATCTTTAATGATTAGATAAATTAAAAATCAATAACATTTATTTATTTTAGCGATGAACACCGATATAATTCAGCAAGAAATTATATATAGATAGTGAGAGTACTTTGTCGCTAAAAATGAAATATTTTAAGAAGTATAAATGTTGTTAATTTGAATACAGAATTGTTTTATTATCTGCATTTGCACTTCGGATATAACAGATAATATAATTTTACGTCTTGAAGTAGAAATATTATGTACAATCACATTAAGAGGAAACTCCCATATTTGTTGTTGCTTTGATACGCATTATTTGTTGTTATATTATATATATATATATATATCATTATTATTAAGAAAGAACTGATACATTGTTTGTTATACTATTATATGTAGCATCATTATTAAGAAGGAACTGATATATTGTTTTATGTACTATTATATATAGCATCATCATCATCATTATTAAGAAGGAACTGATATATTGTTTGTTGTACTATTACATATAACATCATTATTAATAACGAATTGATACACTGTTTGTTGTACTATTACATATAACATCATTATGAATAACGAAGTGATACACTGTTGTACTATTAAATATAGCATCATTATTAAGAAGGAAGTGATGCATTGTTTGTGGTACTATTATACGTAGCATCATTATTAAGAAGGAACTGATACATTGTTAGTATGATGTGTCATAACATCACACAAAACCTGAGTTTCCTTGAGACTGAAAAAAAAGGGAAGTATTATCTTAGATATGCCTGGAAGTTTATAGATACGTAAAAAAACTAGTGACTTTGATTTGTGTATTACTTATTTATTTTTATTTTTTGGTTAGGCCGCTTCATGACGCAGTGGAAAACGACCAATTGGAAATCGTTAGACTGCTCTTGTCACACGGTGCTGACCCTATGATTGCCACTTATTCAGGCCTAACACCTATCAAACTCTCCAAGTCCGCTGTTATGGAAGAATTCTTGAAAGGTGTGTGTGAACTTGGAGACTCAATAACAACTGGAGTCATTTGGGCTTAAACGTATAGTGAATCACTTGAGTTCATTCCTAACTCTTTTTTTTTTACCTTCATTCACAACAAACAACAACGTAAATGATATATAACAATCCATATAATGTTATGGAATTTTCTTTGACGAGGATTCTCTGCATACCAAATACAAAGTCTGAGGGGAACGGGGATCGTTTGAAACCCATCTTAGTTTCTTTTTTTTTTAAAGAAATAAAGCTGGAGGGATACGAACAATTTAGTTTGTATGTTACTGCCAAGATCGTTAACAGTGCTATTTTTACTGTTGCGTTGGTATATTTTGCATTAAGTATGAATTCAAATTTATACAACAAGCTTGAGTAAATCAAAAAGAATTGTTCCTAGAAATCAACCTTTAGTCTTTAGTTTTAACATAAAACATTTACGAGGCGTTGGGTGTAAAAGTAAGTTCACGTGACAGTACAGGAGCTAGTATAGTTAAGACAACGAGAAACGCTTACTGAGGGGAGAGGGGGAGATACAGAAATGTTAGGTAATAGACTGGAAATGAGCGTAAAAAAGAGCTGTATAAAAAGTAACAATTAGATAAATAAAGATAAAGTTAAAAATAAAAATTTCTATCATTTACAGGGGTGATGACTTTAGGTCGATGTGTAGTAGCAAGTACACGTGGTTGTTTTAGACCTACATGAGTCATAACTGAAATGTTTCGCATCTGTTTACCAAATTTAAAAAGCACGCTAGTTTCTTCGAACTCAGTTTGCAGACTAGAACTGGGAGTCCATGTGCAAATTGGTTATTTTGGGGTATTGTTAAGTTTAAGTTTTTCTTATGTTCATGATTTTATGCAATCTTCCAAGAGGTAGAAATCATGAAATGAAATTTACCTAACGATTGCTACGCTGCTTACATATTAATTTTTCTAAAATAAAAAAAAATTATCGTATTATCATTTATATTATAATATATACGCTCTTTATAAATGTTGCAAAACAAGAACTATGTTGTAACCTTTGTTAATTGACAACGCGTAGTCCTCAAACTTTAGAGGTTGAATCATTGTTTTATGTTTTGTATATATTTTATACAATATCTGCTTGGAAATTGTTTAATAATCTCTCGCATCACCCACCTAATAATTATTCCCCTCACCCTTGTAATAAACAGTAAATCATTTTTCATTATCGCAAATGTACTTTATGGGTCAGTGTTGTTATTGATGTCATTACTACAGAGACAATATGAAATGGGGGTTGGGAGTTAGAAGTTCACTGGAATTAGTAAAACTTCCTATTTGAAAATACACATGAATGTTAATGCCAGGGCAGGCTAAATTAATGCAAAATATGTTTGTATTAAGGAACAAATCAGTATACTGAATACTTTAAATCATTTTACAGACTATATGAGTGATGTCACCGGAGAGACTTCGTACAATACATGCATCAATTCATGGCAGTTTCCAGGATCAGCAGTTTGTCTCGGTGAGTCACTTGAGCGTTTCGAATTTAGTCAAACCGAAAGTATCGTGGCTGTCTCATGTTTTACAGTTTCTAATGGTCTCTAAAGTCTATGGATTATCATTACGAACGTGAAAAGTTATCAATTAATTTTATTACAAAAACAAAGTCAGTTGCTTGTATAGAACTTGGAAATTTTTTGTTTAAGAACTGTTTAATTTTCGTAAGTTTTGTAAGGTGTAGTTTATACAGTTTAAAAATACATGATTTTTTCCATAGTTTTATAGGAAGAATTAAGACTAACAATGCATGTGGTATACAGAGCAACTAAAAAATGAGCAATCAATTCACACGCCGAGAAAGTAGGGTTGTATTAAAATAGTTAGTGTAGGTTTGATTTTGCAATTTAACATTAAAAACACTGTATTAAAATAATTTAACTTTTGGAAGTCTGTTTATTAAAACATGTTTTCGAAGTAGCACAGTCAAAATCTGTAACGTGTTTGTGGTGTTCACCTCTCATCATGTGTTGATATGAAATGTTTGTCTCAGTGGATTTTGTCTTGTTTTTGAATTTCGTGCATAGCTACTCGAGGGCTATCTGCGCTAGCCGTCTATAATTTTGAACTTATACACTAGAGGGAAAGCAATTATTCAACATCAGCCACCGCCTACTCGTGGGTTTGCTCTTTTGGCAACGAAAAGTGGGATTGATCGTAACATTATAATGTCTCCACGGATGAAAGGGCGAGCATGTTTGGTGACGGTATTCGAGCTCGTGACTCGCAGATTGCGAGTGAAGCGTCCTAACCAGATAGCCTATTGTGTAGCTTTGTACTTAACAATAAACTGATCAAATAGCAAGTTTCTATAGCAAGTGTCATCGTGTTTGTGTGAAACTTTACCGATTTTTTAATGTTTCTATGTGTGCGTCGCTTGTATCTTTTTCTTAGCTGACTGAACACGCACCGACACCTAGCTCATAACAACAATTATATTGTTACGTCTCTGGTCGTTTGTTAATTTCCGGTATAAATTCTTCCCCAGGAACTTCAGCGATACAAGTTCTTTCTTAAATAAAACTAGTTTATTCTTTCTCAATACAATTTTGCAATACACAGAATTTCCACAGTCAGTTTAACTTGAACATACGCTATAATTCACAACGATTCACGCACTTTACTTACGGTCACTACCGCTCGCTTGAGTCAATTATCTGTCTACCTGCAATTACATCTCCACTTCATTTGCCGGGCTTATATACTAAAATAGAGGGTGCCTGGAAAAGACTAGAGTTGCCAGGAATAGTCATGATCCTTCTAGAAACTCTTGACGTGTTACCAGAGTCACGTGACTTCCGCTATCGTAACAATATGTTAACAAGAAAAAGCTGAAACAGTCTATTTTTTTTCTTTTATTGTGTTATTAAATTAGGTTTGTTTTTGTTTTGTTTTTTTGCCAGTAGTATAAAAATGAATTTTGGTTATTAAATGGCCTAACGATATTCCTTATTTAAAATTGTTTATTAATGAAAAGTGTTTTACGATGTACATTTCGTAATGACCGTTTATGGTACTGGTTATTTAGTTAAAACATTTAACATATTGTGTATTTCTTTGCATGTTTATATATAATAAATAACTTCTACTGTTAAGAGAAGTTTGTTATTTTATCTTTTCCACTTGTTTGATTGCAATTTTTAACATTTTACTTAGAATATTTGAAAATACTTAAATAACGTGATGAAAAAAATTAGCGTGATAAAACTCAAAAGCTTTGTTTAACTGATACATCTTCAAAGTTGAGTAGTGTATGATATGGTATAACATGGTAGCTATTTACCTAATGTTGCATATTTATGTGTATTTTCATTAATATGTATAGGTGACAAACAGTTCCTTTCATAAATATTTTATTCGAAATTCCTGGATAAGTATTGTTACGTCTCCGTTCGTTAGTTAATTTTCCGTAAATTCGTTCCGACGAAACTTTAGCGACACAAGTCCTTTCTTAAATAAAACTGGTTTATTCTTTCCGAATAGAACTTTGCGATACACTTAATTTCAACAGTCGCGCTATAACAAACGCTATAATACTCAACGAACGTCTCACGTGCTCGACTTCAACAATACTCAGTTCGATTACACATACTGTTCCGTCACGTTGTGACCGTCTTATATATACCAGCTACCCCCAATCTAGTAGTCTCCCGATAATTCACGAAGGTTCGAGAAGGACGTGGCGTGATACTAGTCATGTGACTTCGCTGACGCAACAGTATTTTACTTCGAAGCTTTTAAAATGACAGTACTTGTCAGTCGATTAAACTGTGTCCAAATGTACGTGAAAAAAAATAATGACGTATACTGTATTAGTGTAACTCA